GCCCCGCCTCGCCTCGCGCTGTGCCGCAATTCGCCACCTCGCGCGCCCTGCCGAGCGTGTGCATGTACCTCTACTCACAACCACACATCAGTGCGTCGCGCGCGCATGCAGGGCTGCACTGCTGCCTCAGCACCTGCCTTGCCCTGTCCCGGTTTCCGCCGCCTCCCCAGCCGCTGTCACTGCAATCTACCCCACCCCCTGCTCGCCGCAAAGCGCACACGCCACCCCCACGCGCCAGCGCTGTTGCTGAAACGATGGCAACCACGCAGTTCTATCTTGATAACGTGTCCTCTTGGCAGCCCCCACGCCACGCGTTGGCCCCGGCATGCAGTGCGCGGCAAGCAAATCGATGCTGTGCCGCTGTCATGCTGGCTCGCGCCGCTTGTAGCCGCAACCCCTCCCCTGGCAGGAGCCTTCTGTAACATCACACACGCACACATGTGCACACAAGGTGCGCTTGCACGCTATGATGATTGTTGGGTCCTGCTCGTGCGGATGCGAGCAGCTTCCTCAGCTCTGCCAGGCTTTCGCCCGGGAATCCGCCGAGCAAGAACTCAAGCCCACCCAGCCAGCTGCCTTGAACGCGAAGGCTTGCAGTGTGTGGACCCCAGACAAGCGGGCCGGCAGTGATGCTATATTTACAACGCGAAAGCCAGTCAAAGCGGCATGGGATCCAAGCAGCGCCTCAGGCAAGGGAGTGCCCGCCGCCGGGCCGCCACCGCGCCGGGCGTGGGGTGTGGGGCCTGCTGTCGAAGCATGGTGTGCGGCCCGGCCCAACCGCATGCACGTGTGAACAAAACAGGCCGTCACGGACGGCAGCAGGCGCGCGCTGGGCCTGCTGCGCGCATGCCTCCAGCCGCGCGTCGTGCGCAGCAAGGACAAAACCTGTGTGCATGGAACGGCCGCGCGACGATTCGTTCGCCCGCAAAACAGAGACGCCGCCGTCGGCCTTTGGGAAACCCCTAGGCGCAGGCAGCAGCCGCCCCAGGGGCAGAGGTCAGGTATCAGCAGCAGGAGGAGCTCTTGCGCTGCGGCGTGGCGGTGTTGACGTCCAGGCTGTCGGGAACAAACCTGTTGGGGGCAGAGGGGAGAGTGAGGCGGGGGCCGCGGGCGGATAAGACAGGTCGGGGGCGGTGCGGCACGAGCCATGTGCTCACGACCACCGCGTTTCAAGATCATTAGATGACACATGCACAAATAACCACTTTCTAAATCACCAACAACTAAATGCGTCCACAAAGAACCTACTCTCCCTTTCTTGCTGCTACACACACACACACGCGCGCGCGCACACACACAAACGCGCGAGCACGCACACAGCGCCCAGCGCGCCACTCACGCGTCCTCCTCGACCTCGTTGCGCAGCGCGTTGCGCGCGATGCACACAAACGCGGCCTCCACGTTAATGTCGTCCTTGGCGCTGGTGTCGTAGTGCGGGATGTTGCCCTTGCCCGCGCACCACTGCTTCGCCTTTTTCTCAGACACCTGGGGGGAGGGGATGAGCAGAGGCCGTTGGATCAGGGCTACACTGCTGCTGCTGCTGCTGATATGGTCTAGGCAGCTGAAGCGCTGAGCCGCGACGTCGTCGTCAGTCAGGTGTTGACCATCATAGGAATCCCAAGACTCGGGTCAGTCCATATCGCGCACCACGCGGCTGCGGCCCTCGTCTTCGTCTATCTTGTTGCCCAGTACGATGAAAGGGAAGTTCTCCGGGTCGCGCGGCTGGGCCTGACAAAAAAAGGGAGGAAGGAGGCATGCGCAAGGATGGGGTGTGGGGGTGCGGATGGTGATGCTGCAAGGCCGCTTGTTGTTGTGCAGCGATGCCTAGAAGCACCCTCCCTGTGCTCGCCCATCACTAGGGACGCCATGGGCTGCACGGCATGCTGATGCTTCTCCCCTATCACGGCCCCGACGGGCGCGCCGCTGCAAGCTGCTGACGCTGCTTGAGCTGCTGCTGCCCCTGCCCCTACCCTAGCCATGCAGCTGACCGCAGGGAACATTGCCCAGTAGCTGAAGATGACTTATCGCCAAGTTCTTTGCCACGCAGCCACAAACGAGCGGCATGCATAATGGATCGTTGCGTGCGAGGGCCCAAGCACGCAAGCGCACGTGCTCCATCTCAGCACACCTGCTTGAGTGACCCCATGCTAGTGCATCCGCACGATTCAGCAACCATGCACCGTGCATCCAACACACGTGTGCACACGTGTGCACACGGGCACACAAGCGCTTGCACACCTGCAGCAGGAACTCGTCCCGCCAGTTGTCAAGTGACTCAAAGGTCTTAGTGGCGTTGACGTCATAGACGAGGACGCAGCAGTCGGCGCCGCGGTAAAACGCGACCCCCAGGGACTGAAAGCGCTCCTGGCCCGCGGTGTCCCAGATCTGATGGGGGCGGGCGGACGCGCAGGGCGCGGCGCGGCTTGGGGCGCGGGGGCCGGGCCGGTGCTGCTGGGAGCGAGAGCGTGTGCGCGCGCCAGCGCTGCAGCTGCGATTGCTGGCGCTCCGCACGCACAAACCCCGGCGGTCGCCGATGCTGCGCTGCGTGGGCGCTGCAGCCAGGGAGTGAGTACCCCGGCGGGAGTGCAGCATCACCACAGGATGCTGGGCTGGGGCTGCTGCCCCTGGCGTACAGGTGGCAAGCGCTCGCACACATGCGGCACCCGCCTGCAGGGTCACGAGCTTGTCGTCCAGCTGCAGCTCTTTTGTGAGAAAGTCAGCGCCGATAGTTGCCTTGTATTCTTTTGAAAACTTCTTCTGCACGTACTGGTTCATCAGCGAGGTCTTTCCCACCCTTGAGGCCAGAGGGTTCGTGAGGTGCGAGGGGTGTAAGCGCTTCGTCGCGCAACGTTCAGATGAGCATTTAGCCTACTCCTTCAGGGACCAGCGAGCGCTCACCCGCTATCCCCGAGGATGATCACTTTCAAAAGTTTTCTGCGACGAGTCGCCATGGCTGCTGCTGGTCAGGAGATATCCAATACGTCTCTCAAATACGTTTGCGCCCGGCTGGGGCCCCGTCTGGGGCTTCGGCACCTTCTTGCAATAATGGGGCACTGGATGTGGTCACACAGCAGCATCCAGGTAGCTGCCTTTCACAATGTCCTCAATTCAATCGTAAGCCAAATTGCACTCAAAGAATATGTGAGTACTGAACACAACATAGCTGCACGGCCCCCATTGGCGACGATGACACGGTCCCCCATGGGCCAAGATCGATGCTGGTGGGGGTGTGAGCGTGTTCGGGAGCAGTCAGCAGGCAGCCTCTGGTGACATGTGGCTGTGTTTGCATTCGCATGCATACAGAGGCAGCCTTCAAAGTGCGGTATAAGGTGCAGGCTGCACGAGTCGCGGCAAGCAAGCGATGCGTGGAAGCGCGGTGCCTCCAGCTTTTTGTGTCGGCAGACGCCAGGCGATGCGCCTTGACAGGAAGCCAAGGACACTTCATGGCGTTTGCACTAGCACAGCAGCGTGCAAAGTCCCCTGACAACTACCGCTTTGAGCTGCCAGCTGTTGCGGAGGAAGCTTCCCACCATCCTGCCGGCCCCGGCCCCACGACACGCTTGCAGGTCTGAAAACCCCCGATTCGGCACCGATGCGGTGTCCCTTGCATTACACCGCAGCCATCATTCGCCGCCGCGGTATGCTCGCCCAGCCTAATAAAGCTGCTGGCAGCCAGTCGGTGGCACAACAGGGTGCGCGGGGCCTGAAAGCAGTCCCTGTCCCCTTGCCGGGGCTGAGGGGCGCATGGAAGCCCAGTACGGGTGTATATGGGCTTGTGTGAGGTGTGTTTGTGCGTGCGTGTGTGCACCGTATGGCAGTCCCGTGCATTTGGCAGGGCAATCAGGAAGACTGGGCGAGGCCAATGTGCAAATGATCCTGGCAAGCTTTGTTCAAACAACAGAGGGCGCCTGGCAATGCGTCAGGGGGTACAGCAGGCAACCCGTCCAGAAGTTCTGCAGTCAACCACACGCGCGCCAGATGGCACTGCGCTTTGCCGTGCGTTGGAGTTTTCGGCTACGCAAGGAGCGAGTTGCCAACGCCCGTGCTCCGCCATGGCGTCCGGCCGCGGTCAGCGGTCCTTGCCGGGCACGGGCAAGCTCGGCGCCGCGCCGCCCCCAGACACGTAAGCAGCGACCGTGCCGCCGAGCCGCCCGAGCGTCGACCCAAAGTAACCACCACCGCCGCTGCCGCCGCTGCCGCCGCTGCCGCCACTGCCGCCGCCGCCGACACTGCTGCCGCTCCCGGCGTACGCGCGCGCGAGCCCGCCCGAGCCGCCTGTGCTGGCGCTGATGCGCCGCTGCTTCAGGCTGGCGTAGGCGACGCCGCCGCCCGAGGTGGAGTGGCGGGTGGCCTCCCCGTCGGGCAGCTGCAAGAACGCCGCCTCTGGCTCGGCCGCGGCGGCTTGGGGCGCTCTGAGAGGGAGTGGATCGGCCGGCGAGCAGCGGGCGTGCGATGAAACCCGGCGCTTGGCTGAGGATCGGGCGTGGCAGGTGACGCGGGTGCAGCTGGCAAAAGGGGGCGCCGCAGCGACAGGCCCTGCCTGCAGCCACACTAAAGCTAGCAGTTCTCGTGCTTGCCCCCCCCCCCGCCTTCCACGTGAACCTCGCTCGTGATGCATCGGGTGCTCTTCCCCGCCCCTGCGTAGCCCGCTCCGCCCCGCCCAGCGCCACCCCTTCGCACCTGGCGGCCATCACGGCGGGCGCACTGCTTAGTTGGTTTCCGCCCGTCGCCTCGCTGGCTGCTACGCTGGCGCCCGCAGCCGCCGCGGCGGCCCCGGTCAGCAGTGGTGGGGGCAGCACGATGCCCAGCTTCTGCAGATCGATCTGTGGGGTGGACACGGGCAGGGTTGGGTGGGATGGGGTGCGAGTTGGGCTGGCGCACGAGGTTATGATGATGAGTGACTCTGAAGATCCCGTTTGACGTTGTGTGCTGAGGAGGGAAGTATCCGTGGCTCAGCCGCCCAGGATTGACCATGTTGGGCTCGCCAGAGGTCCCCCTTCCTTTGGAGCGCCTCGGCCAGCGGCGAGGAGATGGCCGGGCAGGGCTCACCGCGCCGCCGCCGCTGTTGGTGCCGCCCAGCCAAGTCCACAGCCTCGGCTGCCCGCCCGCCTCATCAACTCCCGCGCTGTCGCCGCCGCCCAGATCGCCCTCCGCGCGATCGACGAGGTAGTCCAGCTGCGCGCTCTTGTCCTTGTCCTTCCCGAGGTTGCGCCGCAGCCCCTCGGAAACCGCGAACACGGCGAGCGCCACCACGAACGCGCAGCCGGCGGCAATCCCGCCGATCGCCCCCGGCCCCAGCTCTGCGCCGCCCTTGCCGCGGGCCCGCCCCACGCCGGTGGCCGTTGCCCCGACGCCAAATGGTGCGGCGGACGCGGCGGCGGCGCCGTCGGCGGCGGAGAGGGCGATTTTGGAGGCGGCCGACTGGATGGCCAGGAGCGGCCCCCAGGACGGCAGGGCTGCGGGGGTCGGTGCGCGTTGCGCGCAGAACGCACGTTCAGGGAGTACCAGGATTCACACGCCAGCAGGCGCCATCAGCTGGGCCGGAGACACAGCGTTACGAGGCAACTGCCAGCAGGAAGCGCGCGCTCCCAGTGCGCGGCCGGGGTCGCCCTCTTGTCCCCCGCCCCCTGCCTCACGCACCCGACGTCTTGTAGAGTGCCGCTGCGCCGTCCTGCAGGCGCTGCGCCGCGGAGGCCACCAGGGCCTCAGGGGCGTCGCTGGTGAAGACCACCTCGGCGCTGGCCACGGTGCCGCCGGCGGTGCCATTGAGGATCTCGTCGACGCCTGCGGACGGGGGTTCGAGTCCAGGCATGCGCGCGCGTATTTCACGATGAGGATGGCGCTGGTTTGCGACCGCGGCCGTGGCCGCTAGCCGGGCGTCGGGAGACGGCTGGCGCAACCGCCGCACGGCCCGCAGGCTCCGTGTCTCTGTGTGGGCCGGGCAGGTGCACGCGTGCTGGGAGCGCTGCAGTGCGAGGGTTTCCGGATTCAAAGCAGCTCCACACAGCATGATCCCGCCAGCGCCGGCTCAGCCATGCCCAAAACCCACCCAACAGTATCTTTCCGCCCCCCTTTGATACTAAACATGGCTTCGGCTCTGCCATGGTCTCCCCCACCAAACCCGCACCCGCACCCAAACGCACATGCACACACACACACACACACACACACACACACACACACACACACACTCACGCACAATCAGAAACACCCACCTGCGGAATGGACGTACCGCCCGCCGCCCGCGGCTGCCTTGAGCCACCCCACCATGTCGCTCTTGAAGCGCGCCTGCGCCCCTGGGCTGTCCGCCAGCAGGTCATACGGGTAGTCCACCCTCAGCCGCGCGTACACGATCGCCCCCGGCCGGACTGCCTGCAGTCCAGGCAGGTTGGCGCTCAATGCTGGCAGCGCGCCGCCCGCCAGGCCGCCGCCGCCGGTCCTCGCGCCTAGCGCCGCGCCAGCACCTGCTGCTGCGGCGGCCGCCTCAGCCGGGGTCATGGTTGCGATGCGCGCGGGGTCGACGCACTGCCAATAGAACCCGTCCTGCCGCCTGCACTCCAGCGCCTGGGCGCAACACGCTTCCGGCCACCGCGCGTCCGCGCAGCCCCACTCTGTGCAGTTGCTCTTCCCGCCGCACTGCCCCCACTCGCCGACGCGCCACGGGCCACAGGCGGCCGCCGCCCGCCTCTGCTTGAAGGCGGGCGCCTGCGTGCTGCAGTAGTCAAACGCCCAGAGGTTGACCCGGTCAACGCCCACGTAGCCGGCAAATTTGTCACATTTCTCCGGGTCTACGGCGCACCAGTCGCCGACAGGGTCGCCGTCAGGGTTGGCTGCAGTGCGGCGTGGATGGGGGTCAGGGCAGGGATGGAGGGCCAGCACAGGAATCAGAAGCATTTGGTGAAAGGAGGTGGATCGAGCAGCGGGCATCTCAAAGCACAGCACGGGCGGTCATGTGCTCGCGACAGCGCAAGGGGGCCGCTGGCGGCGTGCGTTGCCGCGGTGGCAGGTGCAAGCAGCACTCCCCCCTCTCACCGCAGCCTTTGATTGTGAGGTTCTTGGGGCCGCTGGCGGCGGAGCCATGGGGGTAGAGGTACCACCAGCCCCCCTGAATGCACGTGCAGTTGTTGAAGGTTGTGGTGCTGCTGCCGCCGCCGCCGCTGTCGCCGCTCGCGGGCTCAGTGGCACCCCCCTCTGCCCCCTCCGCCGCCGCCGCATCCCCGGGCTCAGCGGCGGCGGGCGCAGGCGCAGGCGCGGGCGCGGGTGCAGGCGTAGGTGTCGGCGGCGCGGGCCCGCAGGTGTCAAAGGCGCCGACGGTCGAGTTCGGCGGGCAGGTCGCGAAGTCGACCCGGCACTTGCGCACTGCAGAGCGAGCAGTGGAGGAGGAAAGGGGCTGCGTGGGGGAAAGAGGCTGTGTTGAGGCACATCCAGTGAGTCAGCCGCATGGATGCCGCCGCAGCGATGCTAACGGCAGCGGACGCTCGCACCCTTCCGTCCGCGCGCGCTCCCCCGCCCGCACCTGTCTCGCTGTCGGGGTGCGCGCAGCGGTTGTGGTACGCGGCTTTGCCCGATCCCTCGGCCCGCCATTCCGGGGAGCACAGGCAGCCGCTGTTGGTCGCCTCTGCGAGCCACGAAGGCGGAGGGAGTGCACCGCACAGAGCGGCGAGGGTCAAAGTCAATGCGGCTTCTGCATTGCTCTGAGCCCTTGCTCTGCTTCCCTTGCTGGTTCCGGTCATCACGCCTTCGCATCCGCGCTTTGCAATGCTGGCGTCGGCTTCCCAGTGAGTCACCGGCGAAAGTCACTCTCCCAGTCACCCGAGCCCCTCACCCCTCACGTCACCGCAGTAGTCATAGTACGTGATGCTGCCGTTGTGACCAGCCTTGATGGAATAGTATCCCAGGCACTCCCGGGGGTCCACCGCACACCACGGGCCCTGCGCAAACAAAGCGGGAGCGGTGCCGGCCGCGCCCCGGAGGCGTGTGCATGGGATGCTTCGGGCGTGTGCAGGAAGCTGCGGTGCCGGCCCGGCCGCATGCACTGCTTACGGGAGCGGTACTGCTCAAGCCGTTACGCGTCAGATGAAGCGAGCGCGACAGCTTCTCAGCACGGTGGCCTTGGCCTCACCAAGGGGTCATCATTTGGGTTTGCGCAGCCGCGCATGCTGTGCAGCTCGCCCTTGCCATCCCGCCACTCCTCCAGGCACGCACAGCCGGCCTGCGTCGTGCCGCGAGGCCCCGCGGCCCCCGCCGCCATTGCCAGTGGTACTATCGCTGCTACGGAGGCAAGAATGAGCGCGGTGGTCGCCATCGCGTTCGGCGGCCCCTGCATGTGGGCGCACAGCGCAGCGGTTGTGGATTTGTTGACTGCCCGCGAGCGGCGCTGCACTGGCTGGATGCTGCGATCACTGCATTATTACGTCTATGATAAGCCTCTATGCGTTATTGACAGTCCACGTTCAGCTCGCATTCACGCACCGGTATTACAATCGATCGCCGCGTTGCAAGCTGCATGTGTAAGTGCGTGCCACTCTTGATGACGCTTTTTTTGTTTAGGTGTTGCACGGGCTGCTGACTGCCCACGCAAACCGCTCGGGATCTGGAACGGTCACCATTGCGCGCTGGTCGCTGTGTAGACGCCGAAGTGTACTTTCCAGCTAGGGGATAGGTTTGTGTCTATTATATGGAGATGCGCAGTGTGCTCATTATGCTTGCCCGTTGGTGGCCAGCACAGTCCAGCCGTCTGTGCCAACACTGCAACCTCAATGAAATCCGAGTGGGCGCATGAGCACGCTCAAGACGTGCAGTGCGGCAGTGCACACCTGTTATCAGGCCAACACCCCAACCCTGCTTGCCTTCGTGCTCCTGTGCACGACTTGGGAAAACCTCCAAACTCTGCGGCCCCCCCTGCTAGAAACACGAAAAGGTGCGCAATTACAGTGCTTCGTAGTATGGTGGGAAGGAGGCCTGCCCCGAACGTCCCATATGTGCCGCAGCACGCAGTACATGATACATTTTTTGTGTTGCTTGTGAACACGCCGCCAAGCACAGGCCTCGGAAGCCGACCAAGCGGCGGCCACCGAACAGGTGCAGCCCGCCGCTCGCCTAAACTCGTGCCCGGCGCAAGCGCGTGGGCACCTTCAGCCGCGCCCACGCAGCCCCGCCCGCTCGCGCCCGACCCGCCGGCAAACCGTTTTGCCGGCGGCGCACAATTGGGCGGTCATGGGGTGCGGGCGGGGCTCGCGGACTCGCGCAGCGTCATGCGTGGCGGCAGCGGGGGCGCGCCCGCCCGTGGCCGCGCTTGCTCGTTTCTGGTTGTGAGCGCACGCGGGGCTTTCTGCGCCGCACGTCGTGCGGAATGCTGAAGCAAACCCAAACACCGGGATGCAGCCGCCCTTCTGAAGTACCAAATCAATCATGCGTGGACTATGCAGCAGGAGTCGGTGGGGTCCCCCCTCAACAACGGAGGGGCTAGGGAAGACCGCCACGGCACACGCTCCATGAGCCGGGGGCCGCGTGTGCTTGTGCGGGCACAAGCACGCGCGAGCGCCCGCGGCGCCGCCGACGACGGGAGGGCACGCGGTGGGGTGGTCGATGACGCGCCCGCGTTTGACCAGGAACAACAAGTTGAGTGGAGGTGCTGGACGTGCGTGTGAGCGGCGCCGCGCCGCGCCGCGGGGCGCTTGGCTTGCGCAGCGCAGCAGGCGGCCCCGCACTCGCAGGGGCCCACGGCGCCGCACTGGCGGCGCCGCCCCGGCCCACGCCGCCAGACGCGCATGCGCCTGGGCGAGGAGCAGGCGGCGAGCGCCCCAAGGGGGGAAGGGGGCGGCGCTCTCCAGCCGCCTTGGTTGAAATGTCTCTGTAGCAAGACTGGTGTTGCTTGCGCGTAATTGAAATCGAAAAGGCCACCCGGTTGACTGTGCCCAGAGGGCGGGCTCCCAAGAGCTCACTTCCTGCGCCTTGCTACCGGACTCCAGGAAATGCGAGTGTGTGCAGTGCGGGCTTGCAAGCCGGCCACCCCGTGAGAAGGGCGGCGTGGCAGCGGGATCAAACGTGCGTTTCGCCCGCGGGCGCCCCCACCAGCCGCCGCGCGCGGCCGCGGCTACAACAGGCGCCGCGGCCGGCGTCAGGCCCCGTGGTGCTGCGCCAACGGTGCAGCAGGCGCCACACCTGGTCCGAAACAAGGCAAATCGATCGGTGCACTTGACTGCCTGCGCAACAGCCCCTGCCCTGACCCCCACGCTTGCAGGGCCGCGCCGCCGCCGTCGCGCCCTGTGCATGCCCGAACCCCCCCCCCCCCCCAAAAAACAAAACCCTTGCCAGTGTGCCGCAGTGTGGACCCCCAACCCCAATCTTCCCGAGCCCTTGGCATGCGTGAGGGACAGCCCCAGGAGGGATGCGCCTCATACATCACCGTGCGACGCGCCACCCGCGCCCGACGCACACAAAGTAGCAACGCAAATAGCGGCCAGCGGCCGCAGCCCCACATAGTTTGCTGCACACCATGCGAAAGCGGCGCCCCGTCCTCTCCGCGGCCCACCGTCCCGCCCCTCCCCATCAGCAGCGCCTGCCGGCCGGCAGCCGCCTGAGGTCGCGCCGCGCTGCGCCACCCGGCCCGCGTGACGTCACGTGACGTCAGCGGCCCATCTTGGCCACGTGCATGAGCAGGAACTGCAGCAGCAGGGCCAGAGGGTACATGAGCACCGCAGCCAGGCCCCAGGCCGCCGGCCAGCTGCGGCGGCGCGTCGCAAACGCGCCAAGCAGCAGGGTGGGGACCAGAATGACGATGACCTGGATGTTTGGCAGGGCCAGGGGAGGGGGTCGAGGCGTGGGGTCACGAGGTGTGGGGTTGAGCGGTGGGGTCAAACATTGGGGCCGAGGATGGTGAGATTGCAGGCGCGTGCCCGCGCGTGCGTGCATGTGCGTGTTTTGGGCAGGGCCCGCTCAAGGGGCGGGGTGCCAAGGGGTGAGGTGGCAAAAGCCGATCATGAGGGGCAGTAGACGTGTGGTGGTGCCGCGCGTGCCTGCAACGGTGACTGCACCTGTCCTGCTCGGTACAGAGGTACAGCGCCGGCGTTATGTCACGGTTTTATGCAGTGAGCAGCGCAGCAGCACACCTCCAGCCACCCGCACGACGCGCGACGCCAGCATGCCAAGTGAAATAGGCAGCGCACACGCATTTGCACACACACACACACACACACACACACATGTTATCTCTCTCGCTCTCACACCCTGATACGCACTATCTCGTCCGCACCCGCTGACCTCAAACACAATACACAACCCCCCCCCCCACACACATGCAACCACCCACCTCGGAGGTGAAGGTCCAAGGCAGACGCTTGGAGTAGACGATCGCGAGGAAGCAGCCCAGGCAGAGCGTAGAGTTGAGCACGACGGCGCCGTACACCTGCGGCCCCAGGCAGGGTGCGAGGGAGGGTGCGAGGGCGGCGTGTTGGGCGATTGAGGAGGGTGCGCAGGAGGGTTGGAGGTGTGCTCGTCAGAGCACACCTTGCTTGCTTGTGTCAGGAGCGTGGCGACGGCCGCAGGAAGGGCTGCGACATTCGGGCGCCAGGGGCTGGCGCTCCCTGACCACTTGCGAGCGGATCACGAGGCAACAAAAACAGCGAGCCTCGCCTGCCTCTCAACACCCCATGCACACAAGCGGGTCAGGTTCGCTGCGTACGTACACCGGGCAGCAGGGCGGCGCCTTCTCTGCCCGCACCTGGTTGAAGGTCACGGAGATGCGCTGGGTGGTCCTGCCGGCGGCGAACGCCAGGGAAGACACCAGCTCTGCAGTCGGCAGGGGGGGCCGGGGCGCGCGGGAGAGGCGAGGGGTCATAGGGCCGAGGTTGCCGAGATGCTCACTCAAAAAGCGGGAGCGGTTAGTGCGCAGCCAGCCGCCCTGCGACCCGGGCAGGCCAATCAGGGCGCCGGCAGTACTCGGCGCCACCACGCCCGCCATAGTTGGCCTACGTTGCCGGTGCCTCCTGGGTGCATGCGTTCGTGCGCGTACGTGCGCGTGTGTGCATGCGTGCCTCACCGCTGGCGTTGGAGGCCATGGGCATGAAGATGAAGGCGAGGAAGAAGGGGTGGACGCCTGAGGCGCGGGATATGTCAGTGACAGTGCCCACCAGGGGGTCTGGGGGGAGGGAGAGGCAGGGGCAATGAAGAGGGATGTCAGGGCGAGGGTAGAGCAAAGCCAGAAACGCTCACAAGGCCAATGATGTGTGTGTGTATGTGAGTGTTCGTATACAGTATCTATTTGTCAATGTGTGGGCATGTGCGTGCGTGCGTGTGTGTGTGAGTGTGTGTGTGTGTTGTGTGTTGTGTGTGTTGTGTGTGTTGTGTGTGTGTGTGTGTTTGTCGCTCTCTGTGTGCGTGTGTGTGTGTGTGTGTGGTGTGTGTTGTGTGAGTGTGTGTTGTGTGTTGTGTGTTGTGTGTGTGTGTGTTTGTCGCTCTCTGTGTGTGCGTGTGTGTGTGCGCGTGTGTGTGCATGTGCACGTGTAAGTGTGTGTGTTTGTCTCTCTGTGTGTGTGTTTGTCTCTGTGTGTGTGTGTGTGTGTGTGTGTGTGTGTGTGCGCGCGCGCGCGAGCGACTGGGGTGGAGAGCGGAACACGGGCTTCAGCACCTCTCAGACGTGCACAGGCCGGCGTCCCTGCGCAGCAACTGTGCGCTCGGCCCGCCGCCGGCTGCTGGCTGAGCCACTCGTGGTCAGACAACGACCCCCCCCCCCCCGCCTTGCCGCTGGGGCGCTGCGCACGCACGCCGCACACCCAGGGGCGGCCGCCGCGCCACCCCTGCCCTAGCCGCGCCACCCCGCCCACCTGAGAACACCGCGCACAGCGCCGTCCCCGCCGCCAGCAGGCCCGCCGCCCTGATGCCGACCTGCCACGGCTCCAGCGGCGCCTCGTCAGCGTCGTCCTTGCTGGCGCCGCTCGCGCTGCCCTGGGAAGAGGAGCAGCCCGCGGCCGACTCCACGTCCGTCTCTGAGTCGTCGGTGTAGGGCTCCCCGCCATCGCTGCCAGAGCCGGAGCTGCTGCACGGCAGACGGCGCAACCGACGGAATAGGAGGGTCGGGGCGTTGTGAGTGAGGACGAAAAGGTGGTTGCCCGCGTCAACAGGCGAGCAGCCGAGAAGAGGGAGGTGGACTCGTCTCGATGCAACGCAGGCGGGCCTCGTGCAGCGCGGGCGAGCGGGGCCGGGATTGCAGAGGTGAGCAGGTGCGTGTGGGGCTGGCGTGCAGGACAAAATCGGGGCGAGGAGGGGTCCAGTCACAGCCCATGGCTGCAGGGCGACCAAGGGGGGGGGAGGGTCTGGGCTCACATCTCAAGGAGGGGCATGCTGAGGTCGTCGACGTGGACGAGCAGCTGCTGGGTAGCTGCCGCGGGGTCCTTGGCGGCGGCCTTTAGGAACTTGGGCTCGTTCCTCAGGGCGGAGCGGCGCAACTTGTAGGCGACCCAGCGGGACACGCCTGTGGAGGTTGTATGTGTGTTTCATGTGAGGGTGTGTGTGTGAGTGTGTATGTGTGCATGTGTGTGCACGTGTGAGTGCAAATGTCTGTGTGCCCGAGTGCATGTGAGCGCAAACAGCTGTACCCCATCACCACGATCTAGACACCCCGTAAAAGCTCCCAACACACGCACGCACGCACGCACGCACACACACGCGCGTACACACGTGCGCACACAGAAAAAATGTCCACCCACCCTCGTGGAACATCTCCTCGGTGATGTGCCCCACCCCCTGCCGGTCAAACTCCCGCATCCACAGCGCCACGTGGTCGTCCAGCGCCTTCCCGCCCAGCGTCACAGACACGCCGCTGCCGCCGTTGATCCCGCCGGTGGGCGCGCCGCCGCCGCTCCAGGCGGGCTTGGCGATTTCGAGGCCTATCAGCATGGAGCGGATGTCCTCAGAGTCAAGGCAGCCATTCCTGGGGGTGCGGAAGCCGGGGAGGCGGTCGGGGCGGGTCGACGGGCCAGCTTGGGGAGGGATCAAGCAATTCGGGGCGTCGAGGGAGGGGCGGCGGGTGCGACGGCTGCGATGTGAGCAGCACCACAC